ATGGGCTGCGTTATCATGACCACTATAACATTCTGGGCATTTGACCCGACTGTTATTGGCGTATACCACGCTGCCATGTGAATCGCATCCTTTAACTTGTGGCAAGTTTCTTTCTTTAGAAGTTGCACAGTTAGTATCTCAGCAAGTTGTAAGTCGTTCTTTCAACATCAGAAAATATCCCTGCCACTCTCTACAAAAGCCCCGTTCAAGCAGAATAAAGTATCCGATTCGGGGCCATAAGATCTCAAGCATTTCTTACGAGACTATCTTCAAGAGGTTGTAAACTATGTATATTTCAAAATGGGCAGAAAACGGTCAAGGTACTACACTAGGCAAGGTAGATTTTAACACAATTTGTTATTACTGAGACAACTAAGAACTTATGCAATATATACCTAGGCAATGAATTCCAGGCTATGACCGTACGATAGTAGTGTGCGTTTTATGGGAAGAGGGTACATCTAGGCTCCCAAATCCACGTTGCCATCTCCGTCTATTTAGTCTCTACTATGACCAGCAAGCAGAGTAAAAGCCATTACTCATGCCTCCAAGCCTCGTCATCACGACTATAAACAGTCTCACTAACGCGATGTCGATTCTGCTGAATCTCTACCCCGTTGGGAAGATCGTTCTGGTCAGCTCTCTTCCCAGCAGCTTCCTCGTTCTCGGCGATACCAGCTTTGACATGTCGCGCCACAAGTCTCTTCCTTGCAACCGGAATATCAACTTCCACAAACCACCGTTCGTCCATGAGATCTGCCGCCTCATTCCATGGCTTCTTGTCTAGTACAACATAGTTGCCCTCAAACACTATGATTCTGTGTTTTGGTAAAATAGGAATATCGTTCTCCTTGGGATCCTTGACAGCGTGGTCGAAAGACGGTGCGTATATCGTCTGAGATTTTTCGGTGAGAGGTTCCCGCAGCGCTTTTACGAGAGAGTGAAATGCCGGGCCATCAAACGTGAATTCTGCGCCACGGCGAGCGTGAGCATTCGCGGGGTCTGGCATGGCAGAAAGTTGGGCACGTGTCAGGTGGTATCCGTCCATTGGCACAAAGGCTGCTATATGCTCAGAGCTGGGATGACTTTGCGCATGGCGTGCGTTGAGTGACTCTGTCACGGTTTGCGAGAGCGTTGTCTTTCCTGACGAGGTCTTAGTATTAAGGACATGACATTAGATACAGCGGAGACATACCTGAGCCGGGGATACCGCCTATTGCTATCACTTCTGCATGTTAGCTATGAGCCCTTGGACATAGACATATTAAGCAACTCACTAAATCGTTGATCCTCGGGCTTTTCCTGGAATCTACTCCAAGCCTTGTCGACCAACTTAGCGACCTGGTCATCCATATTGGCGTTGAATTGTACTCTACAAGTGATATCGATAAGTAGGAAGAACAGTACTGAGATGACACGTTCAATTCTAACGAAGAGAGTCTAATACCTGGACCTCGTCTCCAATCTTCAAATTGACGTTGGAATGCTCTATTATTCACACAGCTCCATCCAGATGTCGCCCCTCCAAAGCCCCGCTATCAGCACAAGTGCCAGTATCGACAATCCACTTCGACGGGTTTCCTCTGACTCACCAACTCAATCGCAACACAGCAATCGCCAAGACCAACACCTCATGATGAAAAAGTTATAGCATCACCGAAAGAAAAAACCCACAGCTCGATTATGTCAACAGAAACAGACGGACTGGATTCGGGTCTGTTCGCAATAGCCCTCTCCGACTCTGAGAACGAAAGCAGTCCCAAAAAACCCACACAAGAAGCGCGCACAGGACAATCCGAAGCAGACTGGCAAGCCATAAAAAACACCTACAGCGTAAAGGTCGAAAACGGCGAGGTATGTCTCAAATTTCGTTGGGCACGAGCCATCCACCGGAGTTTAGCACAGCAACCAGGAGTTAACGACGATTACTCAAACAGATATGGCAGACTGTGAAGTTGCCGCTCGGCCCGCGGGTTTCGAAGCCCGAGGCTCAGACCCTCTTGCATGCCGTCGAGGAACTGTACTTTTTCCGGCGGTTTGGTGAAGCTGTGCAGTTTGTCAATCAGGTTTTGGATAGTGCGAAGGAGGGTTGTATAGACGAGGATGTGTTGAAGACTTTACGGTATTACGAGAAGAAATGTAGAGAGAAGGCTGAGATTAAGGGTTAGAATTTCAAGAGGAGTTCGGATGCTTAGGAGTTCTAAGATACCCAATTGCGATCACGTTCTACTGAAAAGATAGAGAGTGGGCGTAAGAATTTGGCATTATTGTCGTAGTACCGCGGTCTTTGGACCATCTAATCTCATCTAAGTCTGTTGTATGCCAATCCGAAAGTGGAAATAGCTATCAAATAAATCCAGCGATCTCTAATCTATAAGAATCCAATCGCTGGGTATGCCCGGAACGCCATGCTTTTTTGCTTTTTCCTTGATCGAATCAGACCAGCCCTTACACCCTGTGGAGATGCCCAATTTCTATTTCAGGTTCGTTGTACAGTCGTGTCTAGGGATTTGCCGGTGAAAAGGGTGTGATTTTGTTTGTCGATGTCTAAATGTGACACTACGCCGCCATCATTTGGCCATGGCTGCGTAGTTGCTCCTTCTCACGTTCCTCGGCGAAAACCCGTCGGCTCATGGCAAGAACGCACTCAAAGCCTTCCTTACCCTTCGAGGCGTTCTCACGGAAGCGGGTGACGAGGGTGTCTTCGATGCCGTTCTTGATGCGCTGCCAACCACCACAGAGCGCGGTGATCCTCGCCGATTGCTCAAACTGGGTCTGGGTTGTGCTGAGAGGTCGGTAGATGACGGTTTCTTGGACACTGACGAGGTTGGCCAACGTCAAGTTCTGCGAGACCATGGTGACGGTCTTGTCGGCGGGGTTGACGTAGGATGTCTCAAAAACCTGGCTGGTGTCGGAGCAGCCCAAGATGGGCTTCAGCCATTCAGGAGCAGCTTGCTTGCAGGTGATGAGCCTTTCGGTGCGGAGGATGCCCGTCTCGGCGTCGACGGATCGCGATAACGTGTCGACGGCGATGACGTGAGGGGACTTGTCGTTCCATGGGCAGTACTTCCGCCAGTTGGCAGTTGATACTTCCTCCCAGGAGTAGTCGAATGTGCACGTGTTGGAGAAAACCTTCATTTTCGAAACGGTGATGCGAATGAGGCGTGTGGGTGCGATATGTGATGTCGCAGTGTCTTCTAAGCTGAAGCGATAGTGTTTTGTGTCCCGTTGGACGAAGGGATTTGCCGTGGCAAAATGTTTGGTGATGAAGCCGATCGAAGATTCGGCTGCTTAACGCGAGGATGTTGTCCGGTGGTGATCGGAGTGGTGTGGTGAGAAGCTGGGTATCGTGTAGTCCTCTCTTCTACTAACAAATTGATTGAACGTCCTCGTTCTGTTTTTCTTTTTGGTTTGATATAAAGAAGGTGGTATTGGCCGTAAGTTATGCCGGGATGATAGGGAGAAGAAAGATTGAAGTTTGATAAGGATGCGTGCGGTTTTAATTGAATGGCCCAGAAAAATTCATGCACAGTCCGCAGAACCGGAATGCCGCGAACGAGCAAACCTGGAAGTTTGCTTGTGACTGGGCCAGGGCTTGCAGCGGCCGCTGCAGTTCTCGACTCAGATCCAGCGCGCCTTTGCTGCATTCCGATTTGCCCGGGCCTGAGGTCCTACCTGCGCACTGTAGAGCCCCCTGAAGACAGAGAATACGACGGCTTGGATTGGCTGACCGACGTCGACGTCAAATCCAAATTATCTAGCTTTATCGGGCCTGGCTCCAGCTTATCGAGAGAATCAGTCGGAATTCTGGAGACGGACCCTCCGGTTGCCCGAGTTGTCATTGGCTGCGCGTCTAGATCCCGAGCAGGTCCGAGCTTCATCCCACCCGGCTCAAGCTCGTCTTTCTCCACGGTGGCCACTTATGAACAAAGAGCGGAGAGCGACTGCGGAGATCTGCTCGAGAGACACGACAATGAACCAAGGAGAAACAGATCGCCAGGGTCCAGATCTCATCATTGAGAAATCGACGCTATGTCATTGGTTTGATGTGCGTCCTCTTGCTGGTTGCGATCAGACGGCGCTGAACTTCGGCCCAGCCTAGCAGCCTTGATGGCATCAATCGACGTCAGTCTTTATTCAGCTATGGAAGTTATGACTTCAGTCTTTCCTGTTTGAGATATAACATGAGATTGGGGACGAGATGTTTCCAATGCGCCGTATCCGAACATTTTCTCATTCCATGTAGAATCAGTATCTAGTGAGTGGCACATCGTGAAACCCGGTCGCATGCAGCTTGAGGCTCCATGCCAACCATTTACAGACTGGACTTAGTAAAAGAGACATAGCATAGAACTCGATATCCTAGACTTGTAAACAAATCAATCGCAGAGGACGAGCTTGACATTGGGTTTTTGCATAGCATCGAAAATAGGCGAGAAGGAATCATTGACGCTGACGGGCTCGGATATCCGCCTCATCTAGAACTACACGAAGTCGGCATGTTGACTGTTGCTTATTTTGACAGCCCTCGATCTGCAACAATACCTATGTACGATGACCTCAGAAACATGTAAACTTCTTTGATATGTTGTCCTACATTACCTCAGGAAATACTAAGTATTATAACAATGTAGGGCCACATTGGTTCACCAACAATGAAGACGAGGATGCGCTCAATGGCTATGAACAACTGGATCCCGCATATCATCTAGTAAAATCACCCTAATTGAACATTCAGGACTAGATGAAACAGATGATACTCGAACGTATCGCGCATACATAGTCTCTGAATATACCTGAGAACCGAGATGTCATAGTTTCCATGGAGATTGCAGACAACAACCACTTGACCGAATCTGACTTAAACAAAGGTCCGTTATGTCTACCAATGTGGAAGTACATATATTCAATTCTCATATGACTAGTCGCAGAAAATACATACTCGTGGTTCCGCAGACAAAGCGTGGAGTAGTAAACTGAGAGGCAAAAATGAACTATCATGGTCAGTATAGGGCTTGAACCTATGGCCTTCGCAGTTTTTCTTATTCCAGACCTTGGAAATAGGTGTAATTGCGATGCTCTACCAACTGAGCTAACCGACATTTCTTCCTGGAATCAAAAGACAGTAAACTGTCTTATGTAGACATAACAGATCATCCGCGGGCTGAGTATGTGCTGCGAAGCATCCTGGTCTGCGGAGGTAGAATCCCTATAGATTGTATACGTTTGAGGTTGAGGAATGGAAATGGAGATACTTGGAGACAGTGAAAGTGTTATAATCGTAGCTGTATCTGACTCCCTTCTAGAAGGATAATCTAGAGATCTTGCGCTGATATATGGCTTTGTCCGCTACGATACGTTGTCAGCATTCCCTTGTCTTCGAGTATGTAAATTTCACATAGATTATACTCGTATTACAACATCCCGCGTCATATTTGCCTTACGTTTAGGATTAGAAGTGCAGAGTCACAGTTTTATGTAATACTCCCTGACCAACAGTTGTTCAGTCATCCTAGACATCACGGAGATGCCACCTTAGAAAACTTCCATGAACATATCAAAGCGAAGGCGTCTTGTATCATGATCTAACAGCGGCATCTCCATTATCTAAGAATGCGGCGAGCAAAAGATTCGCCGATTCGCCGTGAAGCTTCTACTCCTAACGAGGAAGAGGAGTAATGGGTGGAATTGAGCAAGACAGACCAGCATATATAAGACAAGTTTCGACATTGAAAACCTCTGCACCCTGAAGACGTTAGTTCTGGTCAGTTATGATATGAGCAGCGCCATTGCCTGCATGGAGCGCAGAAACTGACAATCTTTCCCGCTCACCGTTACACGTTGCGCTCCGCTTTGCTAAAATAGAAGCCGCGGGTGTCCCAAGGGCTTCGCATAATGGATGGTTGTAATTCAAACGAGGAAAGATGCCGGGAGATCTATCTTTTCAACACCAAACCGATTGACCATGGGAGGAATGAAGCGGAAATCGAGGAGGAGCTCCGATACGACGGCAGCAGACCGCTGATCGTTTACTAAGCCTGGTTGGGATGACCCTACCTCAAAAACCTCAAAGAAGAAGAAGTTGAAATCCTCCCAAAACTAAAAATACAAGGAGTAAGGAGAAGACAGAACCAGATAGATAGGCGAGCCGAGCTGGATGATGTGGGTATAGCTCTTTGGAAGCCACACTCCTCGACATGACCACATCTGGTTGGTATGATCAAAGAGAATGACATTAATATACCCTGTGCACTTACGGTCCATCGTGATACATGATCTAGCCTTCTGTATCATAGTCAACTTCAAATTGATACTTTTCAACAGCGCAGAGCTATATACCTTCCTGCTGTTCGCATACCCCGAACACATACTTCACTTTCAGCTTATGGCGGCATAATTGAGGACTAGAGAAGGCATGGAATAGCAATTATAGTATATGTGAAACTATAACAAGTGTTTATATGATCATTCATCTGTGATCAACGAGCAGCGAATGACATATGGAACTCCTTGTTTGGGGATTCTAGTGGGAATGTCAAGCTTCCCTTTTCCAGCTACCCTTATTGTTCAAGAGGCAGAGCGAAGGCAGAGCGACTTCGTAGCCGGACTCTGGACACATTCCTATGTACGTAGCGGACTCATATCGCTTCCATACACTCTAATTGCCATACATGTGGTATGCCGCAAGATCAACTTCATCTCGGTGGATCCGATGATCGAAACAGAGGTATAACAGGTTTGCAAATCAACTCAAACATTTGAATAGTCCGATCCAAGTGTCAATGGCAAGCGAAAGGTTGAGATGCTTTGATCATAAACATGGCTTCAAACGGGAAATGCAACACATTCGGTACGACAGGCTTTAATTCTTGTTCATGCCTTTGACTTCATCTTTTCTCGTTACCTATTCGTATTCCCATAATCATGGATATACCCCAGATTGCCATTTGAGCATTTCTTTCAAATACTACCTGTACTGACGCATCTTGACGCATTTAGTAGTCCTCGCCACGGCTAATGACCTCTTTCACATTTGGTCGGAGTAAGATAGTCTATTAGTCACTATTAGTCTCTGACGAAAGCAATATCGGCAGATGTAACTCACGTGCTCGAACTGGGCAGTGTAAGACCCCTTTTTGTCAACCAGTGGAGGATAATCCTCCACAATTCCAGATTGGACAAGGTTATTCAGCTATAACATCTCAGTAAGTCTTTTGGCCCCTACAGTTCAAATCAAGAGAGTACTTACACCCAGAAGGTATTTCTCCTGCCCGAGTCTATCCAGATACCGTCTGCACCAGGGAAGAGTGCTGAAGTTCTTTTTGATAACATTCAAGAGACTCTTCGCAGACGAAAGTCGCAGGTCGACCTTTGGCGCATCGCTCTTGAGAGCGTAATGCGAGACTTCTCCCTCATCATGAACGTACCCGTTTCCTGTACTGCCGAAAGTCTCGATGGCGAATACATCGCCCTCCTCCATCTTGGTGGTGTCAGCCGACTTGACAATCGGCACACTCTTTGTTCCGTGGATGCTGTAGTGTAGAATAGTGTGTCCAGACAAGTTGCGAATCGATTTAACGGGGTACGTCGTGCCGTTGATCTCGCACTCATAGCTCTCCATAGCTTCCTGGATCCTCTCTCCGAGTTCTCCTAGGCGGACGTCAATACCGGCCTCCTTGACACCGGTGTTCGTTGCGTCCTTTACAGCGGCTAGCAGGTTGTCGTACATGGGGTCGAATGCCATGGTAAATGCACTGTCGACGATACGTCCATTGACATGCACACCAATATCGACTTTCATAACGTTGCTCTGCTGAAGAACCGTCTTGTTGCCGGCATTAGGGCTGTAGTGAGCCGCGATATGGTCTAGATTGAGACCCGTGGGAAAGCCCATGCCTGCAACAATCGCATCACCCTCACTGAGACCGTCGTGTCCGACAAGTCTGCGAACGCTGTCTTCAATGCCATTGGCAATCTCAGTCAATGTCTGCCCAGGCTTGATGTTCTTCTGAGCCCATTGGCGCACTTGACGATGCGTCTCGGCGGCTTGGCGGTAATCGGAGAGGAAGTCGCTGTTGATGTTGTCTAGGTGTCTCTTTTCCTCACTCGTAGTACGGTAAGCGTTGTCGTTCAAGTACTCGCATTCTTCGCCCTTGGGGTAAGAATTATTGGGGAAGAGATCGGACATCAGTACAGTCGGAGGGTCTGTCTGGGCAGTGGGCTTCTTGTTCTTCTTCTTGGGCTTCCTCTTCTTGTTCTTTTTCTTCTTCTTCGCAGCACCGGTAGCCTCGGCTACTTGGCCGTCGGCCTCATCCTCAGAATCGTCGCCTGAATTCTCTGCGGCGTCAGCCTCGGGTGCGCCGTTTGCTGCTTTCTGCGCGGCTGGGTTGGTATCGCTCACTGGGGTGTGTGTGTTAGTCAACTTGCGAAAGGATACAGTGGAAGGTGATATAAGATCAGTAAGCGATGGAAGAAAACCTACCGCTGAGCTTCTGAAGCTCGTCTTGGGGCACCTTGGCAGCCATGATTGCATAGACTGTGAGCAAACCAGTCTACCCAGCTTCCAAGGTTGATTCAATAATGCTGTGACGGGCGACATTGAAAGGGGACCCCGCCAACATTTTACCCTGCAAGGGCCCCGCGCCCTTCGGAGTGGCATGTAATACCTAGGGCGCCTTGCAGTGGGGGCCAAAAACCTTGCTATAATAGCCCCGTTGCAGATGTATCGGCTGCCATCCCCTTACCTAAGCCATGTTTTATGACGATTCCTCACATGCGATCAAAAAGGCTTTAATGGGATGACGGGTGTAGTAACGCTTTCATTCACTATATGGCAATAAAGCTCCTGCGCACATAAGGGTTGACTGAGAGATATCTTATACTAGTTGCTCTAGCCATCGAGATGGATTCCAAATCACGTACGCCTAAGAGGTAGGTAGTAAAGGCTAAATAAAAGCCATGGGTAGAATAGGTAAATCTGGGTACATCTAGGCTCATGAATGTTAGCAACTCTGTTGACTAGACGGGCTAGTAGGTTACGACTGGATCGATCCAAGATATGGTCTTGGACACCATGCCTTCGTGTAATATTCTACTAATTACAAACTCTTACAAACTGTTATTGGAGCTGTTGACCGGACAAATATAGGTTGCATCATTAAAAAAAAGGTCATCTTTGTTATTCATAAACTGGAATGCTATCATCTACCAGGTACTTGGTATCACCTGTTACCCTCACTTATCCCGTCGAACTGGAGCTGGGTTTCCGTTTATTGTTTTACGGCACCAAGCAAATCGTTCAAAACCGTCGCGGCCATTGAAGTGACCGGGGCCCATCTGCGGCACGCGCATATGGAATATCTTTCGTGGGGCGTGGCACTCGCTTCGGTGTAATGGGAGCGGCGATTTGAGTCGACGTGGTGGGTGCAGCAGGCGTGGTGGTGCAGTCTTTGGCACTGGCATGTCGTGAATGAAGTCGAGGTCTATCCCCGGGAGCCCTGGTGCGTCCTTATGGCTCTTCTATCGCTTCTTGACGCTTGGCCGCGGCTTGCACTCGTCTCCCTGGACCGGGTGCAAGACGACCTTATTCGGATATGTTTGATTGTTGCCCATGTAACCTTTGCTCCAATCGTAGCCCACGGCGTATGCAAATATCGTGCCCGAACTGTTAAATGTCGTTGCTGTAATGCTGCCTCCGACAGTTGGGTAGCCCTTGAGGCGGTGCTTAGCGTCCTTGTCCCAAAAGTGGAACGTTCCGTCAGAGCCAGCTGTGCTGAATGTTCCGTGCTGAGGATGGAACGAGATATCGTTTACGGAGTAGACCTGGGTGATTGAGCCTGAGGGAGGATCACGGTGGCACTTGAACGAGAAATTGGAGCTATGTATTCGTGTTAGGATACTGAGTTGGGTAGCTGCAGAGCGTAGGAAGTGATTTACCTGGAGTCCTTGTCCTCCACATACTGAATGGCGCAACGCCCCTCGATACTGCCAATGGCAAAGCCAGAGGCGTCTGTGAAGCAGCTCACCACACGTGTCTGCCACTTCAGAGGGCTTTGCAGAGTCTTGTAGAACTTCAAGGGATCTGCGAGGTTGACCACGTTGA